TTTTTTTAAAAAAATAATAATTTTGTCTAAAAATTTTTCAAGGACAAATTTCATACAAAAATTCAGAGATTATGTTAATTTATTTTTTACAAAAAATTAATTAATTATAATTTGTAATATTTAATTTTATGAATATGTATTATGTATATTTATATATATTTATTTTCGAGCCAATTCGAGCCGAACACGAGCGAACAAACTTTTGTTCGTGTTCTGCTCGTTTACATTTCGAGCTTAAAATTTGTTCGTGTTCGGCTCGTTAGGCTTAACGAACGAGCGGAACACGAGCTGCTTAACGAGCCGAACACGAGCTGTTCGCGAACAACGAGCCAAATTGACAGCCCTATACTCACATATCTTATAATCGATCTGAATTATGTAGGAGTCAAACCGTTTGTACCATTGTCCTGGAGACTGTTTCAACTCATACATCGATTTCTTTAACCTGCAAATCAGATGCTCCTGTCCAGGTTGATTGAACCCTTATGGCTGCTCCATGTAAATCTGCTCCTCCAGATCACCATGCAAGAAAACAGTTTTAACATCCGTCTGCTCCATATGAAAATCCCAAATAGCTACTAATGCAAGCACTGCCCTTATTGAAGTATGTTTGACCACATGAGAAAAAATTTCATCATAATCTATCCCCTTCTGCTGTGAAAATCTCTTTGTTACCAGTCGAGCCTTGAACTTTTCCCCATTTTTTTCTGATACGGATGATTTCCTTTTGTACACCCACTTGCACCCAATAGCTTTCTTTTTCTCAGGAAGCTGAATTGGCTCCCTTGTGCGATTTTTCTGCAAAGACTCCATCTCCTCAACTATTGTACCCGTCCATTTCTCTTTCTCTTGGCTAGTGATAACTCCTTAAAAAGTGTTTGGATCATTGCTGTTGATGAGAAGTGCACAAGAGACAAAGTCTCCATAACCCAATCTGCTAGGAGACCTTATATTGGAATGGAATCACCAGGTGTTGGATTTGCAACCTTGATGAGAAGTGCACAAGAGACAAAGTCTCTGCCTGTCTTTGATTAGATTATAATTTTGCAGATCATCTGGAATGGAACCACCAGGTGTTGGATTTGAACCTTCAACTCTCTCAATTGTTTATGGATGCTGTTCTAAATCTATCTGCACTGCATCTGAACCAAAACTGTTCCCTTGCACATTGCGCACATTGCCTTGATTCTGCTGTAACATGGACTGTTCATAAAAAACTGCATATCTGCTGATCACAATCTTCTTTGCGATCGGATCCCAAAACTTGTATCTTTTGACACCTTTCTTATAGCCGAGAAAGATGCACTTCTTCGATTTTGCATCAAGTTTTTATCTTTATCTCCAGGTACATGCACATAAGAAGGACAATAAAAAATCGGTAAATGATCAAAATTAATTGGATTATATGTCCATACCTCTTCTCCGACCTTACCACCCAGCGATGCCCGAGGTGATCTATTGATGAGATAACATGTCATATTCACAGCCTCTGCCTAGAAACTTTTAGGAAGCCCTGCATTCAGTTTCAAACATTTTGCCCTTTCAGTTAATGACCCGTTCATCCTTTCTGCCACACCATTCTGCTGTAGTGTCTTGTGCACTGAAAAATGCCTCTGAATCTCATGCTCTTCATAGAACTTCTGAAACTACGAATCTGTGTACTCTGTGTCATTATCGGACCACAAATACTTGATCTTTCTACCAGTTTGGTTCTCCACCCCAGTTTTCCACAGTTTGAATTTAGAGAAGCTTTCAGATTTCTGCTTCAAGAAATACACCCAAACTATCCTGGAGAAATCATCAGTAAAGGTAACAAAATACTAAGATCCCCCCAATGACTATTCATTGGTAGGGCCCCATACATCAGAATGCACATAATCAAGAATCCTTTCAGTTTTATGTTTTCCAGTCATAAAACTAACTCTAGTCTATTTTCCAATAACACGGAACTTACAAAGATCGAGCTTGCAGCTTTTAACACCATGCAACAAGTTTCTTTTATGCACCAACAGTTTGTAGATATTACCTGCAGTTAACTTTCCTTTCATCACCGTCAGTGCACCTTTAACAATTCTGATGAGTTTCGTATTCCCCTCATCCATGACATCTGGTTTTGTTGCCCGCAAATCTTTCAAGGTTCCACGTTAAGCCAACAAATTTTTGACCATTGTTTGCCACAATCCGAAGTTATCAGTTCCATCGAACTTCACCACTTCGAATTTTATATCAGAAATTGCCATCTAAAATTTATCCTGCAACGAACTTCTCTTAAACCACTCTCTGTTAGGTGTTATGTGATAAGAGCATCCTGAATCAAGAATTCATGCATCCGTGAACTGAGTTGATGAAACTGAAAGTAGATCGCAATCTGAATTGTCACTCTGCACCACATTTACAGTCTTTGATGATCTATCATCTTTCTCCCCAGTTTGTTTTTTAAGCTTTGGACAATCTCTCTTTATATGACCTGACTCATTGTACTTGTAGCAATGAATTGTCTTTTTGACTTTGAATTTTGATCTGTAATTTCGCATTCTAGAACCCTCATTCTCTTTCTTCGTTTCACGATTCTGTTTACCATTAACATATAGACTGTCGTCATGAGAGTTTTTTCCTGCATTCTACTTCCGCTGGTTGTCCCCTGCATTCTGCTTCCGTTGGTTGTGAGCCAACAACGCTACAGTAATCTCATCCACTTTGATAGTTTCTTTCTCATATGTCAGAGTAGTCACCAGGTGTTCATAGGAAGAGGGCAACCAACATAACAAAATCATCGCTCGAACTTCATCCTCAATACTCACATTCAATATTCACATTAAGTCGTGACAGGTCTGTGATTATTTGATTGAAGCCATTAACATACTGCACCAAATCAGAACTTTCTTGCATCTTCAACCTATATAACTTTTGTTCAGATACAATTTATTCGTTAGAGATTTAACTATAAACTGAGTTTCTAATTTCTTTCATACCTCCACTGGAGATTTCAGATTCATCATGTGATACATAACTTCATCTGCCAGACAACCGTATGGTTGCTGCCGCTTGTTGTTGCAATTCTTCCCAATCTTCATACTCCATTGCATCTGATTTTGCTGCCCGCAAAGCTTTCATGATTCCATGTTGAGCCAACAAATCTTTTATTTTTGTTTCTCACAATCTGAAGTTATCAGTTCCATCGAACTTCACTACCTCGAATTTTGCACAAAAAATTGTCATATGAAAATTAATCCTGCAACGAAGTTTTTTTTTTTGAAAATTCCTTCAAAATCCTTCACCTGTTCCCTGCTTCCACGTCCTGGAATAGCACCGTGTGCACCACCAAGAAATACAATCGAAGGAATATTTTGCCGCCTCGGGTAAAGGAAACCAATCTTCTACTTCAGGAAACCAATATCCCGCTTCCAAGAACCAACAAGGAAACAAATCGGAAAACCAATCTCCCGCCTCCAAGAAACGGAATCAAATCAAATCAAAAAATTTCTTCCAAAATTTCTTCTCCTTCGATTGCAGCTTCCACCGCCTCCTTGTTCCTCTGTGGCTACACCGCTGAACTGGTGTTTGCGTCGAAAGTCCATTCGTCGACCTCCTCTCGCGAACTCTCCTCTCGCGATTCGCTAACTTTGCTGCTCGCGTCTGCGAACTCCTGCTCCGAATTTGCGTCGCGCAAAAACTGGCCTGCGTCCGAATCTGCGTCTGCGAACTCTAGTGGTCGCATAAAGGCCTGGCCAAACTGCTTCGCGATATTTGAACGCCGAACTCCTCTGCGTGTGAATGGCTGAAGCGTCTTCTTTCGGCCGAAATTGGAATTGCCTCCTGAATACCGCGATTCCAAACCGAAGCCCTTTCCTTCGTCGCAGATCCTGAACCTGCAACAAAATCACTTGAACTTCTTCTTCCAAATCCCCAAATCGTTCTTCTTGCTTCCTGTGCCGCCGAAAGTTTTCTTCCCTGCCCTAGAACTTCGCTCTGATACCAATTGTTGAGAAATTAAGGCGAAGAAAAACAGGAATCGACACAAATCTAGAAGAACACAAAGAGATTTAACGAGGTTCGGCAAAGATGTCTGCGTCCTCGGGAGCAGAGCGGCGTTTTTCTTTCAATATTCAAAAAATAGTATAAAATACAGAATATGAGATAACACATAGGGTTACATACAAGTCTATTTATAACCCTAAAAAAAACAATAACAAAAACTTTGGGTACAATATGTAATTATCAAATTACCCCTGTACCACACCCCCAACTCACATAAGGAAACTTCCTTGATTTGGACAGAATCTTACGCTCTGCTCTGCTCCGCTACAGTCCAGAATCTGGCCATTTATGGTGTATGAGCCATATCTAACATAATGCTTTCTTAAAGCAAATTAAGTTGTCTGGTAAAGTATTTAGACTAAATCCTGTCACACAGTCACTTTGGACAAGTCAAATTTTTGGATTTAAGAGAGCCTGATTTTGCCGGATTTATTAAACTCATAAATGCGCAAAGTAAATGAAAGCGCCACGTGAACTGAAGAAGAAGTCTCACATTTCTCAATGGTTTCGGGTGTGGAAGGAGGAGAAAGATGAGTTATTGTAGTCTTTGATCCGGTAGTTTCCTTCCTAGCTAGCTCTAATTGTGACTATCCCGAGGGTGTGATAGATTTGGGCGAAACCGGGAGAGGGAGGGATGTAGGCGATGGTTTAGGGAAAGGAAAGATGGTTATGTGGTTTTAATTTTATTTTAGTCTATCCCGAGGGTGTGATAGATTTGGGCGAAACCGGGAGGGGGAGGGATGTAGGCGATGGTTTAGGGAAAGGGAAGATGGTTATGTGGTTTTAATTTCATTTTATTTAAATTATTTTTATTAATTTAATTAATTAATAATGAATAATTAATATATATATATATTATCAGATTAATTATGATTTTATAAATTTATATGTAATTATTTGATAATTAATTAATAAGAAAATTACATATTAAAATTTAATTTTTTTAATAAAGTTCTAAATAATTATTAATTATTATAATAAATAGCTAATTAATTAATAATTGATACATCTTAAATTATTGCTTAGAACTCTTAACTATCCTAACAGTTTTTTAAAACCTAGTAGAAATTGTCCAACAATTTCATAGGAGTTAGTTGAATTTATTAAATCCACTTCGAAATAGTTTTTGGGACGATTTACTTGAAATCAGGATTTACAAGATTTAGTAAATCCTATGAACCTGAATCCCAAAACTTGCCAAAGAGCCCCTAAACTTACATGTTTAAATTACATGTGCATTAAAAAAGGGTAATATTACAATTGTCATAGCTTGTTTCCCTAATAGACTTCCGTCAAGTTTTTAATTATAACTGCTCATATTTTTTTCCCTTCCAGTATGTCTTAAAGGTGGAACAGGCAGGCACCTCCATTTGCCTTAGCGGATTTATGGCATTTGATCTACCTCCGCCAAGAGGGCCCCTCTGGTATGCACCCATAACTATACTAGTTCCTATAAAGCAATTAAGCGAATCATATTAAATTATTGGGGCATTCCACATTTACATGCTTACCCTCTCATTCTAATGTAGCAACATATTAGTTCAAGTGTTAGGCATGTAAATACATAAGAATGGAGTGATATGTTTGTAAATATTTTTAAATTGTTTCTCATATTGGAATATTTTATGTAGGATCCTAGGAGATGTATTCATGGGCGCCTACCACACAGTTTTTGATTTCGGAAATGAACAGATTGGTTTTGCAAAATCTGTTTGAGAGGGCCTTCCAAATCTATATAACATACAGTGTGCATCATGGCAGAATCACCTCCTAATTGCTTAAAACTCTATTGACTCTTGCACACTTATGGTTGGTTGAAAACCTGGAGCTGTATTACACAATAATGTTATATAAAGCTTATGGATCATGAAATGCTTTATCAATGTTATGCTTAGTTTGGCCAACTTCTGCTAAGTGAAGAGAGAGCTTTGGATCTGTAAAAATTCTATTACCAAATTAGTAGTCATGGTTTTCTTAGCTTTTGACCGTGAGAGTTCTGAAAATTATCGCTCTTTTTTCAATAAATATTTCTTAAGAGTTATTATTAACTATGCAATTACTTTTCATTCAAAAGTTGACTTTTATAAGGATTAAATTTCTTTTAATTTAATCATTCAATTATTTTAGACATTAATTCTACAGGAGGTTGAAACAACGTGAAATGGATGTTAGGTATATATGCGTCAGATTCTGCATTAGCATGTACGTAAATATTGAAATTAAGGTATTAGATAAGTAAATACATAAGAAAACTTCCGCTTCTATGGTAATAAACAATGCTGGGAAACTAACTACCTGTTCAGAAAAGTATGATAAGACAGATGGATACGAGCACGGATCGCACTTAAAGCAGGTGGAACAGGTCCAAGTATTTCAACTATAGCAGGTGGAACAGCTCTAAGTATTTCAACTGTGTCCTGAAAAAAGCATTTTTCCCTCATCTCATCAAATCTCAGACGTTTCAATCAAGAGAACAGGTAAATAAGAGAATCCAAACGTATTAAGCATAATAACAATGCATATAAGAGCAAACAAACTACCAAATTAAGCCATAGTGGTGCAACACGGAAAAACGGAGGAAATATTTGGGGGCTATAGCAGCAGTAAAAACAGCTGTTATTTTTATTGCAGCGGTTTCTAAACAGTTCGTAATTGCTCGTGCTGCAAAGGCTTCTAGCAGCAGTGGTTTTAAAACCGACGGGTAATGTTCTTAGTGTTGATGTCTTATGCAGCCGTTTTAATTGCTAGTAACATTGCATCAGTTAAAACTGTTGCTAATTATTAGTGTTGCAAAGATTTATAGCAGCAGTTCTAGAACTCCTGAGAAAAACTAATAGTGACACGAACTTTTGCAGCAGTTTCATCAAAAAATATATCAATCTATCATTTCAGTTTTCAATAACTTAAAAAAATATATATATTCAAAGAGCATAAAAATATCTAAATTTTATGAACTATGTAATAACATCCCCTAAACATTAAACCATCTATCAATCTATGAGATAAACCTTCACGAACCTTGCAATAAAAGAAATCAAATTACAATAAGCAAAAGTGCATAAAAAAAAGAAGACCAATACGTGATATTCCCCCCTCAATTCGTCATTCAGCTTTAGATTCGTTGCATCTCTGTTAAGAACAAACACAATCAATTAATAAATTTAAGATGATTAAAACGAAATAAAATATTTAATAACTTAAAAAATAACATACTGAGTTTGATGCTCCTTGTGGTTGATAATTCGACTGTGTTGAACTCATTGTCTTAATTAAGTCCATAAGGAATGCATCTCATATTCTAATTTTTTAATTCACATAGAAATAGACATACTATTGCTTTCATCTGCAGTTGTGGTACTGTGGAAAAAATCGAGTTGGAGTGACTCCAAACCCCGGTGTTAGTATCCTTTCAGGGTGTTCAGGACCCATGACTATCATGAAAGCCCTCTCATTTGCTTCTATATTACCATCATTTGGAGTTAATTCTTCCATCTCTAACATCATACAAGCTTGTGTCAACATTACAAAAGTATTTATAATTAATATCAAAATGGTTTATTGAATTATTTATGAAAAATATAATAAGCTAATATTATTACCCATTTCTCCTTAGCATTTTCAGATGATCATGTCCCATCCTTATGTATCCTAGTTAATCTCCATAATTGCAGTCTATCATGAATAAACTAAAAGCGAAAATGATAAAAAAAAAAAAAATTTGGTATACTTACAATTTATAATTTATTAAAAAAATAATGTCATATAGTTTCAACCTGCCTTCTGATAAAGCTAATCCATTGTGTGATGACATGTTTGTTTTTTTTTGCATTTTCAGTATTTTTTTGTCGCCCTCCCCTGAAAGAAAAAAATATTAAATCTTTTGTTCAATTCAAAATTAGATAAGATATAATAAAATCTGAACATCTAGTTGTGACCACTGTGTCACAAGTTGACACATTGAAGTGTGTCTACTTCTTCAAGAACATCCTCCATAATCTCTTATATGGGACGATTGTCCAATGCTCTGACTTTAGGCTATTCTTGCAGTTACATCATTTAGTGCAAATGGATTTCAAAATACAATGACGTATATGTCAAGGTATTTCAAATTTAGCTTGCAAATAACTTGGTTAAAAATTATGTGTAAAAGAATAAATAAATATAAACCAACTTATATTTGATCGCTCATATACCTGTAGGCAAGTTCTCAACATTGGAGCGATGAGGCTGTTGTCCTGAACTGTGATATGATGGTTGAGATTGTTCTAGAGTATCACTGCGATCTTTATCCATTAAATTATGATTTGTTGTTGACTGTGAATTAGCTAATCTACCATTTTCCCAACGATTACGCCTCTAGAAACAACATTTTGTGCATGCCCAAATGATCTACTACTTGTCATTTCTAAAATTAAAAATATATATCACATAATTTTCATAAATCAATAGGACATGAAAAAGAAAAGGCACACTCACATACATACCACCCAATTCCTATATATTTACATCCATATGGCAGGAAGGCAAATTCTCAAAGTTCTATTGGCTTGAAAGCAAGGTTAGATCAGCAAATTCTCATAAGTGTTAGATATGTAAATATATGGGCTTGAAAGCAAGGTTAGATCAGCAAATTCTCATAGATATGTAAATATATAAGAATTAGATGGTATGTATGTAAATGCTTCTTAAATCAAAGTCTTAGTAAAAGGTGAGAAAATAATGGTTATCTTTAATGGTAAGAAGTCAAAGATAACCTTTTCATAAATAGAAAAAGGTGGAATGTATGCAAAAATTGGTGTTTAGGTGATAGTTAGACACAGAAAAATTAAGTGGGATGTATGTAAATCTTCCAAAAAAACAGGGCATTTACATGCATACTATCCAATTCCTATGTATTTACATATCTAAAACTCTTCTTTCTTGGGAAAATTGAAAGCAGATCTCACAATGTTGATAATAAAGCCTGATTGATTACAACGCTAGCTACAAGCATTCCAGGGAAACTATAATCAAACATTTTAAGATTCAGCATTACAGATCTCACAAGCATATTTCATTGTTTTTTTTTCTTTGCACGAAATGCGTTACAGGTAGCATTACTTGCTTAAAACTATCCAATAAAAACTAAAACATTTTAAGATTGAACCATATGTGAAAAAACAAAAGTTTAGGTGTTTGATATATAAATACATAGGAATTGGGTGGTATGCATGTAGATGCCCCTATTTTTTATTGATTCAGCAAACCTTTGCTGGCCATTCATCCTTCTATGCGGATGATAGGTTCAAGGACTTCGCCCCATTTATTTTACCATCTCAGGTTATTACTGCTTCAAGTTTCGTATACAAAATAACAGAGGAATGTCAGTTTTATATTCTGCAGTAACTTTAAGGAGCTCTTTACTGGAAGCATTTCATTAAGACATTGAAGGGTGCTGTTCATATGTTCATATAGTTGAAGCAATATAGTTGAAGCATTGCCAGCTTCTTTTGCAGAGATTGAACCTTTTAATAAAACTCCTATATCTTGATCTAAGGTTAACTTTGAAAAAAAAAGCACTCCCTCTCCTGAAAGAATATAAAGTTCTGTATATAAAACCCATGGGATAACCTCTAAGAACAAGGGCTGCCTCTCAAGGTTTACTGAAAAAGTATACTTCACTTTTTAAAAGTTAAAATAGTGGTATTTTTGATGTAATATGAAGATTTGGGAGGTATTAATATAAAAATTGAAGCTTAGTTGTTAGATATATGAATAGATAGCCTCAAGGTATCATAAAGCAAGTAAACAATTAGGCAAATAATGATGATGGCTGATGAATGTGAAAAGAATACTTACTGGAGCTAACATTAACCTGTCAACAAATCATATTACAATAGAAAAATAGATAGGATGCTTGGAATAACTACAATTTTAATTTTAAAATAAAACTATAAATAAAAAATAAATAGTTTTTTCTTTTTTTCATTATAATTAACTTTGAGATTTTGCATCGACTGAATAATTTTTAAAAACAAGTTGAATTTCTAAAAAATTGAGAAGTCCTTAAAATAAATCACATATTGATTAAAATTTGAGGAAAAATAAAAAAAACTAATTTATTGTGGCTTAATAATATGCATGTGGAAAGACAATTCTACAATAAAATAGAAACACTAGCAAACTTAACAAGATCAGCAAAATACAAAAATGTCAAACTTAATAATATAATGTCACTCGACCTGCAGTATTGAAAAGTCTCTCAGGTTAAAACTGTGAAGCGCCAAAACTTTAAATTTTTAAGCATTGAAGCCTCATGCAAGGAAGAACTCTTCAGCAGTAGAGAATTTTAAGCCTATTGCCTGCAAGAAAGAAAATTTAAAAAAAACCACTGTTTCACATTTAGACATCCAATTATATATTTAAGGAGGATTTACATACATACCACTCAATTCATATGTATTTATATATCTAACACCTAAACTTCAAGCTGTGTTTTGCTTCTTAAAAGTTAAAATGGTGGTATTTTGGATGTGATATGAAAGATTTGGAGATATAAACATAAGAAGAAAAGTTTAGGTGATAGATATGTTAATACATATGAATTGGGTGGTATATATGTAAATGCCGCTATATTAAAATAGCACAAGGAAACAAATGGAAAAAGAAGGGATGTTTTTCAAGCAGCTCCATAAGAATATACTATTCATATGAAAAAATGTTCCATCTAAATTCAGAATGATGAAAAGCAGAAGCAAATGCAGATAAGAGAAGAACATGGTTATCTAGATGGATGCAACACCAATCAAAACCATTTCCATGACAAATAGATTGAAATTTTATCTTTAAAGTAACTCTGAAATTCAGTGAAGATAAATTCTGCAAGAAATTGATAGCATTTAGCTTTACAAAAGAAAAAAGGAAGATTTACATGCATATCACTCAATTCCTAAATAAAGAAAATAAGTCCATAAAGTATAGAAGTGCTTTACAAGGTGCTGAGT